GAAATTAATAAGATGGGTTTATGATCCATACTTAATGAACTATTCACTTGCAATCTTTCAGAACCTAGCTAACAATCTAAGTGTGACTTCAACCTAAGTCACACAGAGTACTACGATAACTTACTCATTTGGAAAAACAAGCACTGGGCAAAAATTAAATATGTGCAGAAAAAAATCATTAGAATGAAGTCTTTAGAAGTACTTCTTTAGCCCTGTTCAGATTTCCCTCTCTGCCCCCACCCTAAAAAAAAAAAAAAAAAGTGCCACCTGTGGAACACACTGGAACAAAACAAGAAGGCCCACCTCTTTGGATGGTTGAATTTTAAATGACATTTGCAAGAATTCCCTTTCCTAACCATATTAATTTCAAATTGTTGTAAAAGTATTTAAATAGATACTCGAAAAACCTGTATTTACTTGCTGGTTTTTTGTTTTTTTTTTTCCTTCTTGAAGGCCATAGTGCCAGTATTAGGGAAAAAAATAGACTGATGGAATTCCATTCATTTATCTAAACTAACTTCCTGGGAATGCTAAGAAATAGGAAACATTTCAAGAAACAGATTCATGTTAAAAACACAACAGAGGGAGAACATTTAAAAATCAAATCCCCCCCCCCCCTCTTTCTACATTTCTGTTGTTTACAATGATCAGAAGAAGAAAAGGCCAAAGAAATATTTTTGGTTTATTTTTGAAAAAAAAAAATTACAAGTTAGAAATGCTTGAGATATAGTTATATGACAAAACCAGGTTGAAAATTGTGTTTATAAGAAATAAAAATGTTATTTTCTTATGCTTTGGAGGAAAATACATTACTAATTATCTGAGGACTTACACCGCTTGACAGGTTTTTGGTAACCTCAAGAAGTTTTCCATTGTGTAACTACCCTTCTTAATCTATGCCTGAATCTATCACATGCACATGAGAAGTGGTTTGGGTTTCACAGATTTTCAAAATTCCTAGTGGTACAGGGAACACATGCCTTTTTAAAATTTTATTTTTGTTTTTGCAATGAACATTCTTAGGCTTGCATAACAAGTTTAGCTTCATGTGGCTATTTCTTTCCATGCAGTGAGGAAAGGAATACAGATCTTTTGGTTTGCTCAGCTCAACCTTTAAACATGTTAACTGTTTTTGTCTGCAAGCACTTTTCTGTAAAATTTGTTTTTGATGGCATAAAATTCATAGTTGCAAGATGTTAATAATTCTTTTGATATATTTGCTAATAAAACATACTTCCTTCAAAATATATAAACTTCAAAAATATCCTCTTTGGATACCTTCATTTTCTCCAGTATTTCCTTTATTCGTTGTGTACCATTATTCATAATAAAATTTAAAGGCTTCATTTTTATTAAATAAAGATATTTTTAGATGTCACAGGTATGCATGTATTGTTTTTGAATTCTATAAATAGCTAAGCATTTATATTTTAACATTTTCTTCCCAAGCTAAATATTCTATACTTTCTATATTAATATAACTAAGTAATTATAGTGGATTATTAACTTTTAACATTCTTTGCTATATTCAACTATGCAAATAAAGTCTGCATTCTGGAAAATATGGGGTAGTCTCATGCGCTTATTATAAAAAAGTTGTCACTTAAAAAGGATGAATTTTAATGTTTGTATTAGGAAGTTTACATGATTTACATGATTTAGTTTCAATAATAGAATGAGAACTGCTATTACTTTTATAGGCACCATTTTTCAAAGCAGAAGGCTTTAGTTAGTTAAAAACTCAATTTAAATGCATAATTTATGGCTCAAAATGTTTAGTACTTACTATTTAAACCTTTTCTCATCAAGATGGATAGTATCACATTCTGGAGTCAAACTAGAAATTTCTCTCTTGAAAGGAACATGTTTTCTTTAAGACATAATATCCTGTGCACTCTGAATTTTTTATCCTTACTTAAAACTAAAAGGTTGAGATTCTATTCTTAGGTGAATATTTTGAACTAATTTTAGTAGGTCACCTGGGGCTATATGAAAAGCCTGCCACTCACAGCTTGTGTTTCCTGAGAGAAAATCAGGAGAATAGAGAGGGCTGAAATGGCCCAAAGTTTTTTTCCCAAGAAGGTTCTGGTTCCCTGATTTCCCCCACTTCAAAGGAGAGCCAAGGTGGGTGGCTGCAAGGCACTGGTTTGTCACAAACACCAAGTAACTGTATTTTAAAGGCTAGGTTAGATTTGTATTACATCATATGACATACATAGATAGGTTTTTCTTTTACCCCTTTTAAATATAGGTTGTTACAACCCCACCCTGCCCAACACTTCCCACAATGCCTGGGCCATCAGAATGGAGTATCATATAGACACCACCAGCACATTTTTGCCCTAGTAAGAAATTCAAATATGAATTCAAATCTGTTATATTTCTAGGCTGTAAGCTGCTTCAGTATCACCTCAGGCATGATGACCTTTTCAGCTAACAATCACCTGGCTTTTGGCAAAGGGCAAGGGCCATATGTCACAGAAGAATAAGCTGTACTCAGTAAGTTTGTATTCTATATGCTTCCAAGTGCCCCAGTGGTATGGGTGCCTGTGTGGGATCTGGATTTCATAAGTGGTAATATAAAAGGCAAAAAATGAGAGAATAATCAAGTGCAACAACCACACTGATAGAATTGCTGGTGTGGTGAAATTCAGAGAGGCTGAGCTATCCTCATTCTGTTTCTCAGAGTGTAATGTGCCACATATTTATTGCCATAATGTTTGTATTTTAAGTTTTCTTTATAAACACTACTGAGAAATGAACCAAAGGAATAGGTTAAGAGTAAAAGTTGAGCTCTCTACTTGTTTGAAATTCTATAGAATGCTGAAAAATTCCAGTTTAGAACAGCTGCATTTTTTTGAATGAACTTGTGAAAAACTTTTGCAAAAATAAAAACTCAAGTTAAATTCACTAGAACCACGGGTACTAGGTAAAAAGCTCATGATAAATCAGTGCAGTTGAGTGTGAAATTCAATTGCTAGGCCCAGCAAAAAGTCTGTGTCTTCTGACTCCCAAAGGGAAGGCAGAGCTCATTTGCAGACTCCATGTCCACCTTACACTGAATGCTCTGGATTCTTTATATCTCAAGCATTTGCAGTGATGACAAAACATATTCAACATGATCACAAGGAAAAAAGAATAAAACATTCTTGTGGCCCATCTTCTCATTCACATCTTGCTTTAGAAAAATTTTCCTGCTCTTCAAGTTGCTGAATTAGAACAATGTTAAATGATATACTCACTTAGAAGAGAATGGTTCCTGACCCAGAAAGCTCTCAAGGAGAAAAGTCTGCTAAGTTTATCTCTAGTTAAGATAGCTGGATACAAATATTAGACTGTAAAAAATTCAGTAAGGCCTGACAATGTATAAATATAAACATCACCTGGAACATTTTCTGCTGAGAAACGTCCATTCTTTGAAAACCCTAACTCTAACAGAAATCTCCCAAAAGATACATAATCTCTCTTGTCTTCTGGTTACCAAAGCTCACTGAGCACTAACTACATATAAGGCAGAGATGGCATGGAATAGAAAGTACTGCAGAGAAAATGCAAAAGAAAAAAATAAAGCTGTTCACAGTGCCCCGGCCAAGGAGGCTCTGCAGGGAGCAGTGTTGTGCTGGGAAAAAGCACAACCTGGCACATGGGAAGACATCATTTATGGAGCAAATATGTATTTCTCAAAAACAGTGAAAGACACTCTCTCAGATACTACACCGACAATATGTTCTATAAAAATTTAAAACACTACGTAACAGTTTAAAGCAGTCTGTGTGCTGGTGATAGAGAAGAACCAATATCCTACTCACTGGCCAGGTAACAACAATGAATGCCAGGTAGGAAGATCACATTACATCCAGAACATACAGGAATCTGTTGGGACTTTGGGATTGTTGCCATAAACCATAATCTGAATCTAACTATGAAAGGTTCATCCAAGGACAGAAAGCAGGAGGCACATGGGAGCAGCTTAAGCAATGTCATTAGTTATGTGATGGTAATGGTAGCAATATAAGTTAGAGGCGCTGGGGGGAGAGATTTGATGAATACTTTGCAAACAAGGCAGTGCATGGTAGAAAAAGTACAGTGTAATAGGTGGGGAAAACATAAATGGTATTCTGGGCTCTAGTCAGAGATACTACTCTCCAAACTAAAGCAGGAAACAGTTTCTGACAAATTCCTAAAATCAAAAACAAAACAACAAAAAACAAAGAGAGAAATTTCAAACCAAGAAATACAGGTTTTCTCTCTCTCTTTTTTTTTCTGATGATTTTTGCCTACTTGAGGTATACGCTCTAAATCTATAGCAACTAATGAAAAGCTTACAGAGTATTTTTCAAAAGAAACAATCAAGCGTATTATATATGATAAAACTGACTGAACAATGAGTAAATTCAGCTTTCTGACAAGTAAATAGAATGTGTGCTTTTAAAAAACAGGTCTCTGAAAAAAAAAAAAAGCAGATCTCTGAAAAGATAATAGAATCATTTTTGTCTTTGTTGTGTATAAAAACTTCATTTAGGTAGTGAACCTTTTACTGCTTTTGGCCAGGGAAGAAATGCTGAGGACATTCACTCAACTTTCTAATTTGAGAAGCTCATTCTGCTGAATCATTTTCAGTCAACAGATGCCTGTTATTTATCAGTCACTTTGAGTCTTTTCAGTTATTCTTGTTGTTTAAAGAAAGTAACACTTTAAGATACCAAGATTCACACACACGTACACACACACCCACGCACACACATACAAAAGTACCAAATCAGGCTCCAGCAGCTGCAGAGAGATTACATCACAACTCAGCTGTGCCTGGATTGCTCACTCCACACTGGCAGCATTCAAGGTTAGAAAAATGAAATGGCAGCACAATTGGTCAGCAGCTTCTCTTCTTCTGGATTTTTTCCAGGTTCTTGAAACAAACAAACAAACATATAGACAAACAAACGAATGAACATAAAGCTGCAATCACTCTTGCATTGATTTCGAAAGAGTAAACTAGGCGGTTTCTTTGAAGAAGCAAAGCCCACCCAGAAGACGGCAGCTAGAAGTTTCCAGCCAGTGATCCGCAACAGCTCTGAAGGGCTTACTCAGGGGGACCCAACAGCCACCAAGGGGGTTCTCGGGATGATCAGCTCAAGGCAGTGGCTGAGACCTCAGGCTGTATTAATTTCCGAGCTGTTCTGGCTGGGTGGCAGATGGGAATCCAGGTTCTCCTTGAACCTCTCCAGGTCATGGAAGTATGGGTGAGACAGGGCACCATAGGCAGATATTCTTTTGGCAGGATTAAATGTCAAGCATTTCTGTAATAAAGAAAAAAATACCAATAAGCATAAACTGTACACCCATCTGAATAATACTGAGTTACACAGTTGAGTTACACATCTTTTCTCTGTCATGAATTGTACCTTGAAATGAGAATGAATATTTTAGAAAACACTCAATAAAAGGTAGGTGATACTTATCTTCTATGTGTTTCTTTCTTTCATTTTTTTTTCATCTTTCTAATAGAAACACATAAGAAAAGGCAGTAACTTTTGGGTTTCCCAGATGCTATTACCCTGGATTTCTTTCCAAACCATCCAGGGCCTTTAAAAGATATTTTCAAAACATGCATACAACTTTTCTTTAGGTAGTGATTTTTTTTCCAGTGCTAGCAAACTTAGTGCTCTAGTTGGTATCTTCATTCTAACTTTTTAAAAATCCTGTCCCAAGGCTTGCCACTAAGCAGGAAAGGAGATGGTCTTGTTCAGGTGTAAAGGGAATTAATGAACAAGGGTTCTCTGTGAAGGAGGATGTGGAGGATGACAAGCCAGGATTAAAACTCAGTAATTCAATCTAGTAATCCATGTACTCTGCCGCAGCACCACACCATCCACAAAAAGGGATGTCTTCCTTCTAATCTATATCAAGGTGCCATACAGGTTACTGGATACATTAGGTGTAAAGCTCCAGGCTTGAGATATGTGGTTTGATCAGTTTGATGGGGTTACTGAGGTAGGTCCAAGAGGAAAGGTCAACTTTTGGAGTAGCAATCTCCCTTCTCAATTTTTGGAAATGTAATTAATTAGAATGTTTCCCTAACTTTAGTTCCATTTCCACTCCAACACCAGGTAATCCTTTTTTCTGATCCTCCTCCTCTCCTTCTCCCACACCTCCAAAGTGCTGAGGAGGTTGCAAGCATCAGTTAATAATATGAGTAACAAACTATATGAATAAGACCCACCCACTGCCCCAAAGAGCTCACGAATTGCAGATTAGTATTTATCAAGTTCTCCATCCTTGTCATCCTTGGGATGCAGAGTCCACTAAAGTGAGGCAGATATTTGGAAATGCTCATCAATTTTAGCTGTTTCTGTAATGAAGCCTAACTCCATTATGGGGATGGAAGTGTTCCCTTTAATCTGGGCGTCTGTCTTTAAAGAGCTTGTAGTCCCTAGTGAGATTGTGATTGGATCACAGACCCCTCTGAAACTCTGTTGAACATTACTGACCTAGAAAAACATGCAAATATAATTTCAGGCCACCTAAGAATTCTTACTCATCCTCAGTCTTCTACCAGTCTTCTACCAGTGCCTGCCATGATAGTGGCCCTTAAGTGACTTCTACAAACCAAAGAGCAATGGAGCAAGTAGAGGGAAGAGCTTCTTTGTTAAGCAGGTCTACTGTCTCCAGTACTGATAAACATTCATCTTCATTTTTATCATTTAAAAATTTTTATTTATTTTAATTTTAAAGATTTATTTATTTGTCAATACAAGAGCTAGGGTACAAGCCAGAGGCGTGGAGGTAGGGTGGGGTAAGGGGGCTCACCAGAGACAGAGTGGGGAGCAGAACAGGCAGATCCACTGAAATACACTGCTGAGGGGAGCAGCGGGTAAGACAGGAGAGGTCTGCTACGCTATGTGAGTCAGCTCCCTGGCCAGGAATCAAATTCATGTTGCAGTGCCTGCAACAGTTTTACAGTGCTGAGACTTTAACCCCTGCACCACCAGGGAAGCCGAACATTCATCTTTAAAAGTCTGAATCTCCAAAGGACAAGAAAGCAGGGCAAAATGTTTGAGCCTGAGTTCATTCTTCCAGACTCCAAGATGGAGAAAATTAAGTAGTGGCATTAGAAAAGGAAATGCCAGTTTAATCCTCAGGTCAATGGAAAGAAGTAAAAAAAAAGTTGTGGGAACATGCTTACGGTATCGACACACATCCTCAGAGGATTAGTTGGAAGGGAAACCTATCCTATCCCCACAGCTATATTGATGATCTAGAACTGGATAGACAGGAGAAGAAGAAATCCTCTTCTGAATATGAAGGTTGTGAGACTCTCAAGTTGGAAGTCTGAATATATTATGCCCTATGGAAGTATGTTAGACAAGGTGGCAAAGTTTATCATTGCATTATTTCAGAAAAGCAGTTAGCTGGCTTGATAATTAAAAAATACTGTGTGATAATATTGTTTCTGCAAGATACTCTACTTGCAAACAATTAACTTATAAAATGAGCTTTTTGAATGGTAACTGGGTTGAGGTCGAAATATTACCACGTGGATCAGTTTTCAGCACACGTGCCCTTTTTCCGTTCTTTCCCCCTACAGAAGGTGCATTCTTTCCTCTGTTAGTTGGCTCTGGCTATGGAGCTTGCTGAGGCTGGTGGGATGTGAGCAGAAGTGATACACTTTCCATGCACAGGCCTGCAGTGGCACTGTGTGTTTTGGCTTGTCCATCTAGGAGGATGCGCCTTCTGCTAGGGGAAAAATATACCCCCAGGTAATGAAGCCCTCTTGACCTGGGTGCCATAATGAGATAAAGGAGACCTGTATATCACACAGGCTGAAGCAGAGCTGCCCCAAATGATTCATAGCACTTTTCTGCCCATCTGCAGACCCATGAGCATGAAATAAATGTAAAGCTTATATGCTAATGAGATTTTTTGGGGGACTGTTTTACAGTAAAAGTGAACAAATATTAGCACGGCCTCCACCACCAACAAAAAAAAAAAAAAAAAAAAAAAGTACCTGAGGCACTGAATGCAGCGGGATAGCAGAAACTCTAAAAATTTTTCCAGTAAGAGCTTCATATTCAGAATAAATACCTAGTACCCTAAATTAATCATGGTGATTGGGAGTAAATTGGTAAAAATGTATATAGGTTTTGGTGCTAAAAATAATTCCTTCTCCAAATTGTCTTCTTGCCGGACACTTGTTATATATGTATTTAAGGGTATTTATAAATATCAATGAATCCATGCATACATATATAACTGAGGTATGTTATAAAGTCAGCTGTTTTTCAGATAAAACTCACCTGACTTTTCTTCCTCAGTAAATAAATTTAAGAGCCGCCACAGGTATTACTGGGGTCTCAGTTACCCATCCCATATTAAATGGCTGATCTACTGCTTTATAGCTCCTGTCGTTCTTATCACAAAACAGAGCTTTAAAGGGGTTCTGAGCTTTGAGGTCATGGGCTGTCAATCCTTGAATGCCCGTGGAGACTATACTTGTTATTCTTTCTCCTAGGCCTGCTTCTCCTGGCTTTGCTTTTTTATTCTTCTCCTTTGCTTTTTCTAGTCTCTGCTGCCACTGTCCCCACCCTTTTCCTTCACTCTGGTAGGTTTCTTTGTCCCTTTCTTCTATTTCTGTCTCCTGCTACTCTGCACTAGAGCACTAGTATATGTTTTCACTTTGAAAGCCACTGATGCCAGTGGAAGGCCACGAATAAGCAGGTGGCATTGTCTGTTATCCTCACATTTTAACTTCTTCTAGTTGATTCCTACTGAGTTTGGAGTTAGGAGGTGTTCTGAGAGGTTTCTACATCTTCTGCTGGTGGAAGGAGTGGGATAACTTTACTTCATTCAAAGTTCCTGCTGAAAAGGAAAGTCTAGAAGGGCCACATTTTATAATAAATGACCCCCATTATCGGTCAGCACAGTTGAGAGGTCCTAGAAACTACCCTATATCATGGCTTGGCAAAGAGGTGAGGGGGATCAGCCAGAGTTCACCTTTTAGGAATTTGATGTAGGAAATACTTTGTGTACAAACAATAGCAGTGGAACTTCAAGTGGAACGGATCTGAAGTTCTGATAGTCAACGCCACTTATTGTTAAGAAGAGCAGACAGTACAACTGAAAAGAAGCAATGAGGTGGAGAAACAGCATTCATGGCAGAGAAAAGCAGAGTTGCTAAGAGTAGGCAGAGGACAGAGACAGAGCACTTACATACTAGATGGCTTTCCATTTCCAGGCCACACAACACATTCCATCAAACCCCTTTTCTTAAGGTAGCACAAACAGATGTCTGTTACTGGAAACCAAGGCAAAGTTTCCTAAGTAGTGAGAATGTTAGCAAGTGTGTATATATAGTAAGCCTTTGTCTAGGTGAGTGAGTATTTTCCTTTCTAATTCATTTATTTTAAAGGATGTGGGCCAGTGTCCTTAGTATCTTAGAAATAAACAGTGGAGAAGGAATACAGAATCCTTACTTGCAATAGGCAGCGGAGGGAACATTTGCCTAAGCAGGAAAACAGAGTGGGGGCTTTGGGGGCTTTCTCTGGAAAATCTCTGCAAGCATTCCAGTCAGTGGCGGTGTCCACACAGAGCTAAAACATAGGACTTCTAGTAAGGCGTATAGACTCTTAGGCTCTATTTGAAATGCAGAATATGCTGACAGAATGGGAGCACTGGCTCCTCTGGGTCTAGCGCTTTCCCGCTAGAGATCCAAGATTGTTAATTCATACTGGGCTCCAGACCTCAAGAGTAGCCAAAAAGTATATTCCTTGAACTATTATTGTTCTGTCCTTCAAGTACAGGGAATTATGTACAAAGCTTAGTATTATGAGTTTGAGTCTCAAATTGAGTACAAAATTCCCTGATTTCAGTGTACATATTTTCCACATATATGACCCATTCAATATTTATTAAATATTGGAAACTAGAGGAACAGCAACATAGTTCTTCTGGAAAAACCTCTTCCCAAAGATGTACCTATTTTGAAAAAGGCACATTAACACAAGTTGCTTAAGTAGCATGAAACTAAATAAGGGAAGGTAATCGACATAGTTATTTTGTTATGCTGTTGATGAGAAAATAAGAAAAAGCCTGAGTTGGGCCCTCCCTGGTGGTACAGCGGGCTAAAGTGCAGCACTGCAAGCTGGTCACAGCTGCTTTAGTGGGAGTTCGATCCCCTACCCCGGAGGTGACCACATAGTGCGGCAGGCCACTCCTGACCTGCCCGCTGCTCCCCTCAGCAGTGTACTTCAATTTGCCTGTTCTGCTTCCCACTCTGTCACTGGTGAATCCTCTCACTGCTCCTGTACCAGTACTGTATGCATAAATAAATAAATAAATAAAACCTTACAAAAAAAGGAAAAAAAAAAAAGCCTGAGACCCAGAATCTCAGCTGGAGCCACTATCCATGTATGCTTTAAAGAATCACCCCATGTCTACATGGATTTTCTCTAGTACTTCAGTTTTCAACAACACCCCAACAATGTGCATGTTAGGTTCACTGGTGTGTCTGAATTGTGCTAGCCTGAGTGAGTGTGGGTGCTGGGCGCTGCACCCTGTGATGCATGGGTGTCCTATCCTGGGACAGATCCTGCCTTGTGCCCTAAGCTGCCTAGATAAGATCAGAGTCATCACTGCCCTGAACTAAGTGGATTAGAAACAAATGAATGTAAATTATTATTCCATATTCAAGTCTTAGGATCTTTATTTAAAAGTTTATTGATCCTTTGTCATTAACTTAATTCTGTTTATATCAGTAACCTATAGTAAAACTGGTTTGCTTATATGCCTTTAAAAAAAAAAACTTTTCTGTTTAAAGATTAATTTTATTTATTCATGTGTATAAGAGCTGGGGTATAATCCAGGGATACAGAGGTGAGAGGATTCACCACAGACAGAGTGGGGAGCCAAACAGGCAGACTGACTGAAACACACTGCTGAGGAGGGCAGTGCGCAAGACAAGAGAGGTCTGCTGCGACATGTGGGAACCTTGGCCAGGGATCAAACTCAGGCTGCAGTTCATGGTGATAGCTTGATAATACTGAGACTTTAACCAACCCTGTGCCACCAGAGAGGTCCCTATATATACACCTTTTAATTTAAAGT